GGCTTTGTTTACCCCTTTGGGTGTAACACGCTCGTTTCAGGACGCGTTTGTCCACAGACAGCTGCTGATTCCGGAGCTGCCGCGCCCTTCTTTCCTTTGGGCCCTTCGGCTCTGAGGACTTGCCTTGTCCGAGGGTCCGGGCCCGCGGCCCTGGGGGAGTGCGCCTCTATTACAGACATTACCGCGCGGCGCGCTGACTATTTGTTTACTGGCCGCCCCCGCCCCCGCCCCGCCTCTTCTCTGGAAACGGAAACTTCCTGTTTACCTTTGTCCCACGGGGCTCCTGTCCTGCTTCGACACCGTGAGGACTCAGTAAATGGTCAATAGAGGAATAAACGTGCCTTTCCCACTTGCTGGCCTGGTGATCTGGAGAAAATTACTTAACCTCCCTGTTGAAAATGGGCATAATAATAGTGCACCTCCCTCGTGAGGATGTTGTCAACCCTTAGGGAGATAATACGAGGTGAGCATAGAGGAAGTGTTCCGTACTTGGTATTATTATTATTATTACTATTAGTCACAGGAGGTATTTCTAATTTATGTGGGCTTGAGGCTACCGATGTTCTGTGACACTGTTGGTAGTATTAATAAACAATGCCAATAGCAAATTCCTTTTGAGCTTTTTTTTTTTTTTCACATTTCAGGTACAAATCTAAGCACTTTTCAAAAGTTTGCTCTTTTATTTCTCTCAACAATCTTGTGAGGTATGATTCTATTGTTACTCCCATTTTACACATAAGGAAACTCCGGGTACAGAAAGGTTAAGTATTTTGCCCAACATCATGGACCTAGTAAATACTGAAACAAAGGTTTGAACCTAGGTGATCTGGTTTTGGATAGAACATACACTTGGGTCCTTACTACTCTTACCCCTTTACAAATGATACAAAACAGTTTTATGTTGATGTATTCAAAACTGGGACCTCAGCAAGGCCTGAAGCCATAGAGTTGCTCATAAAAAGGCCCTTCCTTCCACTTGATCCCATGCCCTTGGTCCCACGCCTTATCTCTCCCTGGTCGCTACTGCAGCCCTTGGTATTAATGAGGGGTGAAACACAATCCTGAATGTGGGAGCAGGATGTTGAGCAAAGGGAAGAAGGGCAAAGAGGTTGGGGAAATTAAAATTATTTAAGTCCTAAAAGTGATGATGGAGCTTTTAGTAGATTGCTTGGCTGTGTTCTCTATGCTGGATACTTGGCATATGCCTGGAACTCTTAAAGACTTCACTTTAGCTTCAAGGAGCTTTCAGTCTAGTTGGAAAGAGAGGTCAATAAAATAAAATAAAAAGAAAGAGAGGTCAGATGCCTAAATTAAAAAGCCAGCACTAGCTTGTTTTGCTCAGTGGTTAGACTGTCGGCCCACAGACCTAAAGGTCATGGGTCCTGTTCCCAGTCAAGGGCACATACCTCGGTTGCAGGCTACATCCCCGTCAGGGTCAGGGCTTGCAAGGGAGGCAACCAATCGATCTTTGTCTGTCTCTCTCTCTTCCCCTTCTCTCTCCCTTCCATTCTTTCTATAAATCAATGGGAAAATATCCTGGGGTGGCCCAGCTGGTTTGGCTCAGAGGTTGAGTGTCAACCCAGGAACCAAAAGGTCGCTGGTTAGATTCCCGGTCAGGGCACTTGCCTGGGTTTCAGGCTGGATCCCCAGTTAGGTATGGGGGGGTGGGGAGGAAGGCATGTAGGAGGCAGCTGATCTATCGATGATGTTCCTCTCTCATCGATGTTTCTCAAATAAATAAATAAATAAAACATATTTAAAAAATATCCTGGGACAATGGTCGGCAAACTGTGGCCCCTAGAGTGTGGCTCTTCCACAAAATACTACATGCGGGTGTGCACGTACAGTGCGATTGAAACTTCGTGGCCACACTCAAGGGGCCAAAGAGCTGCATGTGGCTCGCGAGCCGCAGTTTGCCGATCACTGTCCTGGGGTGAAGATTAAAAAAATAAGCAAAAAGCCAGAGAGCCATGGGGAGTACCCATGGGAGCCAGTATGTGGGTGGTTGAAAAATGTGGAAAGGAAGCAGGACAGATGGTGGTGAGACTGGAAGAGTTGTTGGGGGCAGGGGAAGAAGGAAGGGAGCCCATGGTCTGAGGTGCTGAATAAACAGAAACTTTCAGAAAATAAAATCAAGATCTATGCTGTTAAGAGCAATCATCATCATTACCACCACCACCATCATCAAGAAACTGCACCAGGGTAGAACAAACTTTCATTCTATAGATATTTACTAGACTAACTTACAAGTGCAAGACACTGCTAGACATTTTTAAGAGTGAATTTAAAAAAAATGGCGGCAGAGTAGGAGGATGCTGCATGGACATGCTCCCAGGAACAAGCTGGAATTACAACTGAAATACAGAAAGGCTTCCTAAATAATCAACGGAAAACTCACAGGAGAGAACCCTGATACCCAAGGACCAAAGATGGAGACCACATAGACACTGGTAGGAGGGGCAGAGGTGTGAAAGGGCTGGCCGGGCACCCACAGACGGCAACTGAAGTCCCGGAGAGATATCTCAGCTGGGGGGGGCATGCCACTGAGAACCCTGGGACCTAATCCCGAAGCTGGGCTCCCCAGCAAAGAGCACCAAACTGAGGAGGGTACCCACATAACATCTGGCTGTGAAAAGCAGTGGGGTGCTGTCTTCCAGGGGGTGGCAGCTAGAAGTTCAGGCACCCTCTTAAAGGGCCAACACACAAAAATTCCCTGTAGAGCTATCCACATTGTGCTCTGGCAGAGGGAGGGTGAAGTGGACTGGAGCTGTGAGAGCAGAACCCAGGACTGGGGACTCGGGGGACAGAGCTCAGAAGGCAGATACCCCAAGTTTCCTGGGCTGAGTCACTCCCTCACACAGGACATCTTTCCCACATAGACATCTGTCTTGCCTGGGGGCCAAAGAGCCGCATGTGGCTCTCGAGCCGAAGTTTGCCAACCACTGACTTAAGAGATTAAACGTAACAATTAGCCTCCAGGCAGAAGCAACTGCACCACCCTGTTGAAAAACTCTCCCCATACCTGAGGACGATTGCCTGGGGGCAATTCAAGTTGGAATCCTATTAGTCTGTAGACCGAGGCCGTCTCTGGAGGCTTTGAGTCTTTGCCTGATCCAATTAGTCAGAAACAGCCTTTAAGACTGTTCTGCACTAGTGATTGAGAGGTGTAGAGGATCTACCTAATACATAGTCACAAACCCCAACAGACAACCAAAATGAGGAAACAAAGAAACAACCCC